GGGAGAATCTAAGCTAAAAATAATATTGACATGAAGTCAGAACAGTTTGATGTCTCTCTGGGGAAAACGGTGGTTTAGAGAGAACTCTGCAAACTGACCTCCACAGCTCCAACCCTGGGTCTGCCACTTTTCAGTTACGGGACATTAACGCCTCAAACCTCACTCACTTTTCCATCTGTGAAATGAATAAAGCAGGAGCAACCTCTGAGGATGGCTGTCATGGGAACAGCAAGCGATAAACCATCCGGCCCAACAGTTATTAAAAAGGGGCTTTTTCCCTTGGCTCACAGAGAAGGAAAGAAGAAAATATTTTTGGTCACCTTCCAAGTGTTATATAGTTGGTTAGAGAGAGAACAGCTGGATGGACACACACGGATGTCAGAGAGATGATAAAAATAGATGGTGTGCCAGCCTTCCATCCACCGTACATGCATTTGAGGGCTCCCCCCCCAAAATAATAGTGCCCAGATGCATCATGGTGATTATCTTAAAGAGATACAGTTATATTCTTTTAGTATGATTGCATGTCTAGTTCACCTCCATTGTCCTGGAAACCTGGGAGGAGCTGTAATCGGAACGCACCCTCTCTACAGTGTGAGTTCTCGCGAGACTGAAATACAAGCATCATCCCTCATCACCCCTCTTCTTCCCTGGCAGAAGCTCAGGTGGGCACTGTCACCATTCTACCTCTGGGTCTCTCGTTTCTGCTGTGTTACCCTTGTGACAGCCTCCCGTCTGCCTCATTCTTTCTTTGCACCATTTATGACTTTCTGTAAACTCTTGTTTGGATCTAAGAGCCGTCATGGAAACGGAGTTCCAGCTCTTGTGATGGTGTAATTCAGCTTGAGGTGTAAGCTTGAAGTGCTTTTTTTCCTCTCCAGTTTCAGGCAATACTTACCTCCCCTATCAGTTTTCATTAGTAGGATAATAAAAGTCATTTTAAACTGTTCAGTTGTAGCAAAGCCTTTCATCCTCTTCAAAGGACTTGGTCTCAACAATCTTTTATCAATAGCGTTCTGTGTCCCTTGACACACATACACGTGGACTAAATCAGTGGTCCGAGAATACTGAGGTCATGCCAAACCCACCGAGATACTGCTCTGAGGTCTACTTGTATGTTGCCTTGTGTTTATCCTTTTGTAACAGAATTTTATGTAAGAAAAGGAGCAGTGGGATAAGAAAGGTGGGGGAAGCAGGCTGCAGGCCGGGAGCAAGGCTGTGAGGAGGGCTCACCTCCGCAGACCACGCCGTCCAAGTCCTCACAGCGGCGGTTGTCACACTCGCACGTCTTGCCGTACACCCTGCTGTCCCCTGGCGGGTAGCAAGTGCATTTGCCACATTCGCACTTACCTGCAAAACACGAAGAGCGCACACTCATTAGGAGACTCAGTATCAGTCAGGAGACTTGCCTTCCCTTTTAAAGGAAACAAGCGTCCTGCCGGACCCAGATGTCCTGGACCAGTTCTAGCCTGTGTCCAAGAACAGCTCAGCAAACCCCTTCCCGACCCTCCCTGGAGGTCGAGCACGAACGCCGAGGAGGTCGGGCGGGAGCTGAAGGGACAGCGGCCGGCTCGTAAGTCGTTCCTGTCTGCCACTTTCCACTTTCTGTTTCACACGTTTTTGAAGAAGAATTCAATCATTAAACTCTCTGGGCATTTCCTATTGCACTTATGATGAGACCATTTAACATAATGGAGTCGATTTTATATATTTTGACATAATTGGACATAATGTGACCATTTAACAATATTTTTAGTTTGGGTCTGTCTGCCACATAAGAAAAAAATGCTCATAGGTTCATTTCAACCTGATATTTTGGTGATTATTTGGCATTAACATCATTGTTCATAGAACTGATTTTAACACACAACACATGTCAGAGTGCATGCCCTAAATATCTTTATTGTTCTTGACCTAGAGTTGAAGAGGATGAACATTTCTGGGAATGAGTTCAGTTCACAGTTTGGGGATTTCTTAACTATTATCATTATAGATTGTCATTTTTCGTGCTGGAACCATGCCTCAAACACTATAGTTTCTTCCTCAGTTCCATCATTGTGCTTTCAGAAGACCACACATGGAGCAGCATCGTCACCATCATTCTACTAAGCAGGAAATGGAGACATATTGAGGCCAGGACATTTTCCATGATGAACCGGCTCTTAAAGGGATAGATCAAAAATGTATATCCATTCTCATTAAAGTCTGTGCATCTAAACATTAAGCCATACTGTATCTTAATATACTCAAAATGCAGCACCATGAGGCTGGATGAGAAAGTAAATGTCTTGTTTTCGGAGGGATTGGTACTGGTTTGCCAGAAATTCAGCTGAGTGACTGCTCGGAGACATCTGTTACTCTCCATCATTATCCCAACCATTGTAATTACACACCCACTGCAATGATCATAAGATACTTCAGGGCTGACCCTGTAATGTTGTTAGTCATTCTGTTGCTGCATTTGTATCTTGTTAAAGAAATTCGGAGCTGGTATCTGATGGAAGAAAGAAAAATTGGTATTTAGAATCATATAATTTCCGAGCTGTAATTAAAGATAATCTAATGCAGTGACTCATAATCTTTACTGGCAGCAGTGGTGGGGTCACGATCCCTCTGAGAATCTGGTGAAAGATACAGCAATAGATGGTGCGGCGCTGGCTGTCCTACAGCCTGTCTCTCCTTCTACTTGGAGGCAGTGCCAAGTTCAGCAGGAGGCAGGACCTCCCTCATCCCCCAGTGATATGCCCTTTTCCTACGGAGCAGGGCACACGGAGCAGGGACACCCCAGCCATTCCTGGCCAGGGCTTGGATTTCTGAGGCTGAAAGCAAGGCCCAGGGTCTGCGGCAGAGTGGCCAGTTCACCAGCACAGCAGCAACTGTCCGGGGCGGGGGGGCTAGGCCCACAGAGGCTGGCCTTCAAAGTGACGGCCAGCGGGGCTGGTTCTTGGCAGTGCCTTGTTTCCCCAGGGCGCTGCATGAGTTGATTGTCCAAGCTGGCGTTCCGAGTCATTTTAAACCCTTCTAATAAAATACTTTTGCCTCCCAGTTAATGAAGTCAGTTTCTGTTGTTTGCAGTCAAGAACCCTAACTGGAAGACCCCAGACTTCTTCCTGAAAAAAAATATACCAGCCATTCATTTATTTTTTATAAGAAGTCAAAAATCCATGACTTTCTACCATTTATTGGATGGATGAGGAAACTCAAGGATGCTCAGGCCGAATGACTTGTCTCAGGCCAGCAAAGCAGACATGAGCAGTGCTGGTACTAGAACCCAGATTTCTGAGCCCTGGTTATCTCCTGGTGCGCAGAAACACACCTGCACTCTCATGGGCAGACATGTGAACGACAACAGTGACCCAGACTGTGGACAGAGGCAAACTACAGGACTGTCAGCGGTGTGGCCGCGTATGGTTAAATAGTCCGTGGCGGACAGATGCTGGAAACGTCAACCACATCATTCCTGAGAGGCAATACACTCCCAGTTACCAAGACAACATCAGTTTTTAAACTTGAGGGCATGTGTCTTCGTGGTGACCACTTTATCAACATTTTAGGTGTACAGGAAGTTTCCTGAATATGTATTATTGATTTCTTTGAAAAGGATGAACTAACCACCAGCAACTGTCTTTAAATACCTACATCTCACTGGTTTCATTTTCTTTTCTTCTGAGAGTCCTCTTTTTGCACAGTCTTAACCTTGACAACTGTCTCAGGCGTTAGACTCTGCTTTCTCCTTTCCCACTGTCTTCAAACTCGTCTTTTTAAGATTTCCTTGTCAGGGCGCACAGCCGTCGAATCAACAGTAATGAGTTACTCTATGCAAGATAAGGAGCCACCAACATACACAAGATGAACACCACCCCCAATCTCGCAGATTGACAGGCAGGAGAGCATCCGGGGTAAACGCACGCTCCACAGGATGTTAATGACCAATTCAGTCTTCTCTTCTCCGTCACCACCAATAATAGGGTGGTGCATTTGTGAAGAAGTAAAAATCTGAAATTTTCAGGCACTGCATGGTAGATTGCGGACCTGAACTTCAACCATTAAAGACCGAAATCACCTCCAGAAGCCATAGCTGAAAACACACATACACACAAATCATTTCTACCCTCTACACACACATTGGAGGTATTTAGCTGGAGAACAATCTTAACCTCCTTCAAACTACACCATAAAGAAAACACACGTGTTCTTGATCAAGAATAGAGTCAACCAGGCTTAGCAACCTGTGCAATATCTGCATTAATTTGTTCACTCCCTCAGTCATTCAATCAACAAACACATTTTGAAGATCAACTACTGGGAAAGTATGGTGCTAGATACTGAAGACATAACATTAAGAAGGACATTTAAAAACTTTTAATAGTGGAGGGAAAATAGGTAAAATTCACGAGAACACACACCCTATAAGGTGAGAGAAGGTTCCTGGCAAAGCTGACCGGGAATGAGTCTTACAGGGTTTATTAAATGTTAATCAGGCAAATAGGAAGGAAAATAAATTTTATGGTAAAGATACAATGAAAAGGATGGGCTCTGACTTTAATAAATCTGGATTTTAATCTTGGCACATTCACTGTTAAATGTGAGTCCTTGGAAAAGTAAGTTAAATCCCATTGATCATGGTTGAGGATGAGAGTAATAATAATACTGATCACATAGGGTTTATTGTACAGGCTAAATGTTACAGCGCACGGCAAGCACACAGGACAGGACCTGACACATAGTAAGTGCTCAAGAAATAATAGACATTATTATTTGTGTTTTTATAATAAAAACATGTTGGGAGGCTTGAATTTCAATTACTCACATAAAACCCATTCCTTTCCTTTATCATTCTGTTTCCCCCTCCACCCCCCCAAAATACACCCTGTATTTCCTGACCCAGAACGAGATTACTGAAGAAGAACCATTTCATCAAACGCACCTGCCACCAGGGTAACAGCAGGCTCACGCTCTGCAATCGTGTTTTCTTCCACTTTGTATAACGGCAAAAACCACACTTGCAGTACATGCTCAATAGCCGAAGAGTAATTAGAGGCTCACATAAAACAGAAAAGAGACTAGCACTTTACTAACACAGTCCTCCTTGGCCTAAAATAATGGGTTTACCATAGCAACCTGATTGCACTAGAAAAAGCTCCTGCCAAATGCATTCTAAGTTCCCTTGAAATTTCTATGAGGAAGAATTAAACACTGGAGAACTATAATATTCTGTACCATTTCATCTAAGTACAAACATTTCGTGTGTGTGTGAGAATAAAGTAATCTTCCACCAGACGTTTGAAAGTGAAGACGCACCTTTCACCTTCCATTTCAAAAGGAGCAGTGAGGCTTCTTATAATTCAGGCCACACTGACATTACATTTGCCAGCCCAGGAAGGGTTGCTCTTGACTTTTTAAAACATGGAGAAATGTCAGTCTTTCTGTTTGTGTTTTCTCAGTATACAAGGATTAAAGTAATCAGTCACAGATCTTTGTGAGGAAGCAAGACATTTAAGCGCATGTTGTACTGATAAAATTTCCTGTTGTTTACCCTGGAGGGTCCAAGATTGAAAACGGGATGCGGAAGCACCAGGCTTCACTTTTCTCTCAAGGTTTTCCAAGGTATTGAACAGAACATCACAGAGGCGGTCTATTAGACCCCTAACTGAGATTATCTCATTACTTCAAACTTAAGATTCGTTTCTATAACAACAACTAAAATTACTCAAGATTCATTTATTTCTAACAAAAAACGTATAAACCAGGTAGCGATATCACATGCATTTACACTTACATCACACACATTACATTTGTATTACACACATTCTGATACAACTCAGAAACTAAGTCATAGACCCAAGGTTAAAAAGTCGGCAAATGACTGAGGTTGTAAATGTGGAACTCAAGTAATTAATCAATGTGGCCTATCCTGATTTGGCCAATATAAATTAGAAAAAGAATCTCCTCCTTCCTACTGGGTAAGCCCATTGACTGGACGGTGGCCAGTACCTTGCTTCTGACACAAGGTTTTGGGGTTCTGGAAACAAAAATCCTGTCACATCTGGCCCTATGCTTCTATGCTTGATATTGAATTAGTGATTCCATTCTAGGTCATAAATAAGCACATGCAGTGTAATTCACCACGAAAGACTCTGTGGGATAAATGTCAAAAGATAGACACAAACAACAAATGCTATTCACCAGTGAAAGAGAGTGCTGTGGTTGATACAATCAGGGAAGCATTTCTATAGAACATCTCTTGAAGATAAACCATACCTGGTCAACAAAGGGACAGGGTGGAATCAGGCCCCAGTCAGTTTAAAATTTTTGCTTGGTGTTGTCACTTTGAAAAATTCAAAGTGTGA